TAATGACTAGTTCCTCAGGCGGGCCATGCTTGCCTGTTACGGGCCCGTAGACCATGCCATGCCAGCCCATGGCCTTGAAACCCCTAGCCAGCACGGCCCATGTGTCATCGTGATGGGCCATGGGGTGGCATGACCCGATTTACACCTCTACAAATACCCCCAATAGCTACAAAATAGCTAGCTTTGGGGGTATATGTGTATTTTGGCTTTGGGAGTAAAAATTGATCTAAATGCCCCCAACAATTATATAATAGTTAGTTTAGGGGAATCTTAGTAAAGTGATAATTAACTTTATGAAATACCAAAATACCCCTCTCAATAACTATAGAATGGCTAGTTTAAGGGTATTTTGGTCAATTAAATTATTTCTGACTTTTATAAATACCCTTACCCTTCATTCTCATCACACCAATTACCATACTCATTCGTACTCTCATTCTCATTTACTCACATTCTCTCTCTCTCTCTCTCATATTCTCTGCCCCTAATTCTCAACTTTATTTAAGTTTCAAAAAAAAAAAAGGATTACTTAAGAATCTCAAGTTAGCAATTGGGAAAACTTTAGAAGCTTTATAAGTTGAAATCAAGTTAGGATTCCAAACTGGTGGATTGGGTAAGTTGTAATTAATTTTCATTTTTTAGGGTTTTAATATTTCAAATTTTTTTCTAAAAATGGCTGGTGTTGGGACAGATGACCTTACACAAGAGAGGGATGGGGGTGAATTGGATAGAGCTTTAAAAAATCTTTGACTATGAACAAGTCAAGCTCAAAACCATTTCCCCTAATTGAAGCTAAGCCTTCTTGATAATTAGAATCAAAATGTAGTAGAAGAAAGGCTTAGTCAATTAACCTTAGTAGCTAATTAAGATATTTACCTCAATGATCAACATAATTGTTGAACAAGAGACTGCAATAACAAAATAAATAAACAATCTAATAGCAAGAGTTGTAGGGGTTAGCAGTTAATAAATATTAGGGGTGCCAACAGATTGGGTTCAACACAGATTTGCCTCAATCCTAGCCCAACCCTCTAGTGTCCTAACCTAAACCTAACCCGATCGACCCTATAGGGTCTAACTTGAAACCAACCCAACTCGACCTATAGCATTTCAAATCTATTTTTCAACACGTTTTGATGACCTAAAACCCATTAATTTGCATTAGGAAATTGTTTTACAGATTCTAAGGTGTCACTTTTTCCACTTAAAAAAAAGAAGAAAATCAAAATTAACATGTAAATAAATCATAAACTTTAAAGCTATAGAGTTAGAAATCAAAAAGTTGCAAGAATACTTTGTATATTTGTAGGGTGTTAAGACCCAATGGGGCAGGCCAGCCAAAACCTAAACTCAACTTGATTCAAAAAAATCAAAACCCTAACCTAACCCTAAAGCCAAATATATCTGACCCTAACCCAAATTGGGTTTACCATTTAACCCGACCCATTGACATCCCTAATAGATATAAACCACAAGAAGCTAGAATAACTGCTAACAAGATGATAGCAACTGAAAATACATGAAACAAATAAAATATTGTAGCTTACTATTAGGTTAGTGGTACTACAATTATATAAACAAATATAAATGTTGGAAGTAAATAAACTACAGAAATTAAATGAGCAATTAAATGTAAATAAACAATAAAGTAAATGGCAATTGCACCAGTAGTGTGTGCCTAAAGTAGCAGCTAAAGAGAGATGACGGGCCACTAAAAGAAGTTGAGAAAAGGACCAACGACAAGATGATAGTTAAGATTATAACAAGCTATCAAAGTTGAATAAACTTAAGATTCAAGCAGTTTGTTAGACTACTATTGGAACCCAATGACAAATTGAACTATCGAAATGTAAATATAGTTGAATGATAAATGGACAATAAAAATAAACAACTGTAAATGTACAAGCAAATGCAAAGTAGCTAAAAGTAAGTGGTCAGCAGTTGGAAGATATTAGCAAATAAAGTCCAAACTTTTGAACCAAGATATTTGTGCACTTAGTAAAGTTAGTGAGATTAGAAGCTCATGACTGCACTAAATGATCTTGTATCTTGCATATCTAAATAAAGAGAAACAAAGTAAGAGCAATGTCTGCAAGATCTCAAAAAAAGTTATTACAATTATGAGAGAATGTTAGTAAAATTAGTAAACAACTAAACTACACAACTTGAAAAAAAAATGCACATACAAAGGCACACAAGACTTTTATAAAGGTCCAGCCAATCCTGTCTACACCCTTTATCTCAAACCACCATTGATGATTTTCACTAATCTACTAAACTTCTCGAGTGCCAACAAAGCCTTTTACAATGAACAGGACTTCACGGGTGCCTATAAGTCCTAAACTAGTTGGACTTCATGAGTACCAACAAGACCTAACCAGTAGGACTTCTGAGTGCATATAACACCTTGTAGTTAGGCTTAACAAAGGTGCTAACAAGACTTTGATGGTGTTCAATAACTTTGAACACCTACTTGCTTTAAGATATTTCGCTTTTAGCACAAAAGCATGTTTACACCAAGAGAAGCCTTTGGATAGGCAAATATTACAGTACGAGTACAAATTAATTCAATTGCTAGAGTTTCTGAAAAAATGCCCAGATCAATGAAGAGACTCCCAACAAATGGGTGAGACTATACAAGCTCAAAATCTTCTTAGATTTGC